AAAATAATTAAAAAAGTTCCTATGGATATAGGCCCGGAAACGCTTTGTTTCCAAGATACAGAGTGATACGTTTTTCAAAAAAAAATAGTTTTTTATTAATAGCCCAAAACAGCTTTAGCCGATTTCGTTGAAATTTTCACGGTTCATTTCAACCATTATCAGACATCTACTGGACCAATTAGATTTGATCCAGAATTCCCAGGGGCGTACCCAGCGACCAAGTCGGTTGTTTTTGTGCAGAAAAAATATCACTCTGTAGTTTTTGTACGATTTTTATTGATTATTCAGATAGACACACTAAAAATACATCATTTTTGTCTCTTAAATTTTTCAATTATCTCGCTTCGTTTTCGCGGAAAAATTACATTACCATACCTCGGCACATCTCTGGACTCCATAAGGAAAGATAAAAACTTATAGGAATTAAGGTACATCACCCATTCATTGAGTGAAAAGGACATAAATTCCATGTGAGGTTTTTTTTTTTGTTTTGTTTTCATAAATCAACAAACTCCGATAAATTTTCAATCAATTCCTAAGCATTTTTATTTTTTCTTATGGAGTTCAGAGACATGCCGAGGTATGGTATTGTAATTTTTCCGCGAAAACGAACCGAGATAATTGAAAAATGTAGGAGACCAAAATGTTGTATTTTTAGTTTGTCTATCTGATTAATCAATGAAAATCGTACAAAAACTACAGAGTGATATTTTTTTCTGCACAAAAACAACTTGACCGCTGGGTACGCCCCTGGGAATTCTGGACCAATCTAATTGGTCCGTTAGGTGTCTGATAATGGTTGAAATAAAATAAACCGTGAAAATTTCATTGAAATCGGCGAAAGCTCTTCTGAACTATTAATAAAAAACTATTTTTTTTTGAAAAACGTATCACCCTGTATCTTCGAAACAAAGCGTTTCCGGACCTATATCCATAGGAACTTTTTTAATTATTTTCATAAATATTATCTGCCCTTGAAGTTTGTAACACCATTTCTGAAACACCCTGTAGATCCCTGTACAAGAAACGGACATTTTTAAAGCCTTTATTAGGGTTTCAGAATAGCTATTTATATAACAAGTACATAAAGTAACTCATTACTCATTATTTAATAGCCTCGCTCGCAAGCTCGCTCGGCCATAAAATAATTCGTACAATAAAGCCTGTTTATGTAAGCGTTATATACATGATTTTATGTACGATTGCGACTGATTTTTGTTAAAAATTAAAAAAAATTTATGACAAAAGTAAAATTCGCGTAGGTATACCTGTTTCACCTTGGCAGGTTGTCAGGACCTATTTCACCTTGGCAAGTTGTCAGAACCTGTTTCACCTTGTCAGGTTGTTCAGGTAGGCGATAAAGTAGCACTTTATTTTACTAGTACAATAAAGTGCTACTTTATTGATGCAAAACTGTTCTATAAATAGCACTTTATTGATCAATCGGACATAAATATCATTTTGAGCTTTACAAAACCACACATAAAGATGCATAAAAATCCTATTCCTGGCTCTACAAAAGCCAAAATTGAAGCTTGAAACTCTGATTTGTAATTTTTCTTGACTTCAAATTGAGCCACTACGTCATTTCTGAACCTTGTGACGCTTAAATTCAATTGAGGAAGTTTAGAAATTTTATAAATGGCTCTTCTAAATTTGAAATAAAGAGGCATAAAAAATCCTATTCTCGGCTCTACAAGAGACAAAATTAAAGCTTGAAACTCTGATTTGTAATCCTTCTTCAGTTCAAATTGAAGGGGGTGTAGCTCAAGGTCTTTGCTTAAGGCTCCTAAAGTTAATAGATTGTCTGGTAATAGGAAACAGATGACGTCATCAAGAGGATCTAATGGAGATAATATGTATTATCTTGTATTATCTTATCATAAAAGTTATCAGGCAACCTACCTCTTTTCAACAACCTTGGGCATAGATAGAAATTGCGACAGAATTATTAAGGAATAGAGAGAAGGTATGTTTTTCCTATTCCAGGCTCTTAAATTTTCTCTATTTAGAGAAATTTAGGAGAAAACGAAAACTTAAGACATGGGCATAGACGAAGGTTCCTTATGGGCCGGTTTCTGCTATTGAGAAACCGGTCACCTCTGGGTTAAGCTAACTTCAGGGTAAACATTGCAATTTTACACGTTAACCCTGGAGTTAAAACCAACCCAGGGATGACTCGCTATTGAGAAACCGGCCCTAAGTTGATAGGTTGTCTGGTAATGACAAACAGATGACGTCATCAAGGGGACTTAATGGAGATTTGTATTATCTTTAGCTGAGATCCTTAGGCACCTCAGATAACGTCATAAAAATTATCAAGCAACTTACCTCTTTTTAACAACCTTGAACATAAACCAAAACTGCGACAAAAATATTAAGAAATAGAGAGAAGGGAAATTCGTGTTTCACCCCGGATAATGTCATAAGAATTATCAGGCAACCTACCTTTTTTCAACAACTTTGAACATATAGACCAAAATTGCGACAGAAATATTAAGAAATATAGAGAGAAGGGAAATTCATGTATTTTCTATTTCAGGCTCTTGAATCTTATCTATTAAAATAAATTTAGAAAAAAAAATATATAAGACATGAGGCATAGACCAAGGTTCTTTTAATTAATATAGGTTGTCTGGGTAATGTTAAACAGATGACGTCACCAAAAGGACCTAATGGAAATATACCGGGTATCTACGAGATCAGTTTCGCGCTGGGATATGCTGTCTTTTTTTCAAATGGCATTGAATATGGTGTAGGTTTGAGAAATTTCATCTTTTGTGTCAATGTTTGGTAACTTCCGGTTTGACCGGAAATAGACCTAACTTCGTAATTTCGAATGGGATCCCAAGAATTTTCATGATGTGTATAAAAACGTCAAATTTCCAGTGATTATCCAGAACCTCTACTTGCGCATTTTTGGTAACTGGTAACTGTAATTATTATCATCAAAATTGTTATTTTCCACTCACATATAAGTGCAGTAAAGTGCACTTTACCGTACGCTCATAAGTAAAAACCTTTACCTACGAGCGTGCGGTAAAGTGCACTTTACCGCACGTATTTGCAAATGGAAAGTAGCACTTTACCGCACACTATGCGGTAAAGTTAACTTTACAGCATGGTGTGCGGTAAAGTGAACTTTACAGCATAGTATGCGGTAAAGTGGACTACAAAGTGTGCGATAAAGTGCACTTTACCGCATAGTGTGGAGTAAAGTAGAATTTGATATTTATAATCAGAAATCCTTTTTTTTCCAGAAAATGGATTTTTGATAATTTCTAAATCTAATCTAATTTCATTAATTAATCTGATTCAATAATTATTTTATCAATGCCCTTTTTTGGAGATGTAGATGCTCATAGGTAAAATTTTGTACCTAACACATGCGGAAAGTGCCTTTACCGCCCTTAACGGCTTGACCGAACTCCGCTCCGTGTGCGGTAAAGTATCACTTTCCGCATTTGTTAGGTAAATAACTATTACATACTGAAAAAAACATCTTTAACTCAACATCAGTAGTGCCATTTATATCTTAAACGATTGTAACACCAAGATACACAAACCTTTTAAATTTTGCCTTGATAATGTTCAGAGCTCTATTCTTTAGGAGTTCAAATTTTATTGGCTACACTTCTAGATGGCGCTATAAAGCAGCGTTCAATACACTGACTCTATTACCTACAGTGGCGACAATTGCTGTCTTATTTTTGATTGGTTCTAAAATCCCATATATTTATATTGTAAACGCCGCCATCTTGTGTCCACCTATTGCTTATTTCAAATCTGAATATATGGGATTTAGGTGAACATCCATCATAAAACATGGAAAACAACGTATTTGATTGACATAATAATAGTCATCAAATACGTCGATTTCAATTTTTTATGATAGATGTCCATTTAAATACTATATATTAATATTTAAAAGTAATAAGAGGTTGGGAACAAAATGGCGGCGGGACCCCTATTGTCGCCACTGTATGTAAAGGTTTATTTAGCCACTGTAGCGTTCAATATACATAGGAGGAGCTTAAATATTGACTTTTGAAAATCCTTCTAGCTAGATGGCGCTATAGTCATTAATAAGCTCTTAAATTTTGATGCCAGTCAGTTGAGGAAGATTCAAATAGAGCGCGCCACTAGTTTGAATAGTAGGATAGGAAATTTACTTTGATCTGAGTGAAAATTTCGTTTTAAAAAGATCAGATCAACTTATGAGCACAGATTATTTAAAGTTTTGCTTATAAAGCTCAGAGGCAATATTGTTCATATAAATTTTCTGTTTATTTAATTCTTAGTGCGATTAAAACAATCGTCTGTTAAGTACTGGTTAGTTAACCACAAGCTTAGCTGGTGTCAATCTCCAATATGATTGTTTTTGTGTGACACATTCTGAGGTTTTTTATTAACTAACAGGAGCTTAACAAACGATTGATCTAGCCGCACTTTAGGACTAGTTATTTAGTCTAGCAGTCGGTAATAATTATTGTTGGCTAACCGACAGCTAAACTAAATAATCGTCCACTGATAAACTTGTCCTTAGAGCAGCAATATCAATAACCGCCTATCTATATAGGTCTGTTCGCACAGAAATTACAAACCAGTTAGAGTGAATTTCATTGGTTGAAACTAATCTTCTCTGACTGTTTTCAACCAATGAAATTTGCTCTGACTGGCTTGTGATTGCTGTGCGAACAGACCTTATGTCTTTAGGCAACAAAATTCTTTAAGGAAACTGGGAAAAATTCTATTTACGGTCCAGTTTTTCATCAAGAAATATCAAAATATAGTTTATACGAAGTCAATTCGAATGGCATAAAAACTGTGTAGACGCGGCATCTTCTTATGAAATTACGCATATGCGTGCAACAGCCTAGGAATTAGAATTAGAATTCTCCGTTCTTGGGAATTCCTAGGCTGTTACACGCATATGCTTAGTTTCATAAGATATCGCCTACACAGTTTTTATGTTATTCGGATTGACTTCGTATAAACTAGAAAAATGTTTGTAATTAATCTGCACTTAATCTCAGACCCAGCTGTGGATATAATTATGAATAAATCGGTGCAAAAAAAAAAAAACACAAAAATAAATTTTAGAAAATATCATTTTAATATAAAACAAATTCTAATCATTATTATTTTTTTTTATATACAAAACACTCAGGTACTTAACAACTAAACATACAAAAAAAACGATTATACAAAGCAAAAATTTAATTATACAGACACACACAAAAATCAAATAATAAAATATTTTTTCGTTTAAACCTATATCACAGTTTTAAAGCTAAAAAAAGATTAAAAAAAAAAGAAAGAAAAATTGCAAAATTTTTTGGAAGACAAAAAAAAAATATTAAAGCTTTCATCAAACAAAAAAAAAATAATTTCACCAAGGCCTCCACATAGGTGCATCAGAAACATCCTTTTCCACTTTAACTATATCACTTGCAGGTGAAACTGGCGGTGTCATTGTATGTCTATGTTGCTGAAGCTGTAGCTGAGCCACATTATCCAGCTGTCGGACACAAGCGCTGAGATGTTGAAGAAGTTTTCTTCCAGAAGCTGGATCAACCAAATCCGTTGGAGCAGGCGTTGTAATAAAGTGAGTAACTTCTTGAGCGCACTGAGTAAATCCCGCTCTAAATCGATCAGCATAAGATTGTTCTTGAGGCAATATAAGTTGGTGTTGGCGTTTGAGATTGTGTAAATGACGTACTGTGAGTTCCAGGATGTCAGCTTTTTCCAATTTTGAAACATTTTCTCCTTCGCTTTGCAAAGCTGTCACCATAAGCTCTTTGAGTTCATCCAAACAACGATTGATCCGAGCTCGTCTTTTTCTTTCCAGCATCGGTTTCATCACTTTCCTGTACTGGTAGGTTCTGGATATTGGTTCCTCTCCGCTGATGCACTCACTGTTAATCATATAAGGCGTCGGTGCCATAATTTTTACGTAAAAAAATTACAATAACTTTTGCGCGCTTTGCTCGACAACAACTAACGTTTTAAGAATGAAGTGACGTCGAGACCGGCATATAGTTTTATATCGCTTCTTTGCCGCTACTAGAGTGGGGTTCATGAGAACCACTACTGAATGGGTGTTCTGTCTCTGTTTGATTTGTTAGTTGACTATGTTCGAGCCTTGTTTAAGCTAAAGGAATTGTGTGCAACAGGGGGTTATTTCGAGGGGTGTGCTTTACCGGCGGTTGGTCGTGTGACCATGGGAAAGGAATTTCTCGAGAAATTTTTTTGGGTTTATGAAAAAAAAGGTCAGCGGGGGTTAGTTATGGAACGTGTTGGGGTTTTTTTGTTTGTTTGGAGAGTTTTACAGATTATTTGCTTCTACACGTTTTTTAAAAATACTAGATATTTTTGGTTTAGAACTTTGGTTCAAAATTTGAATTATTATCATTTTGTTTTCTGAATGCCTTTTTTCATAGATTTCGACTTCAAATCTCAGAATAATTTAGTGTATGAGGTTTGAAAGATCCCCAATGATCATTTAAACAAAATTTCAACATGAAAAAAATTGTTTTATCATTTTAGTACTAAGGTAAGCTACCTTATGATTTAGATTTCTGAAAACTTTAAAAGATCATAACTTTTTTTTTATTGGATATAGAAAGCTGACATTTTCAGCCCAGGGGTCGTATTTTCGAATATTCTCGCATACGAAATTTGATTCCGAATGCTCCCCATTCAATTTACATTGCCGTCAGTCAAATTTCGTGTACGAAATATACTCGAATGAATTCGAAAATACGACCCCAGTAGAGGTCTAGAATCCCTAAAAATTGCAGCTCATCTGAATTTATAGTTTCTGAAATAAAATTGCGTTAACCAATTTGGGGCAGATTAGATTATCAATTTTTCAATTTTTCTGAGTGGCTTTTTTCATAGATTTCGGCTTCAAATCTCAGAATAATTTAGTGTATTGGGTTGGGGCGGTCCGCAATGATCATTTAGACACAAAATCTCAACATGAAAAAATTTGAAATTTTATTATTTTAGTACTAAGATCGCCCTCCCTACCTTATGATTTAGAATACTGAAAATTTTGACAGATCATAACTTTTTTTCTATTGGAGTTGAAAAGCTGAAATTTTCAGCGATTCTTATCCCAGCAGAAGAGGACTACAATCCCTGAAAATTTCAGCTCATTTGGACTAATAGTTTCTAAAATAAAATTGCGTTAACCAATTTGGGGTAGGTTATTAATTTTTCAATTTTTCTGAGTGCCTTTTTTCATACATTTCGGATCCAAATCTCAGAATAATTTAGTGTATTGAGTTTGGGTGGTCCCTGATGATCATTTAGACGCAAAATCTCAATATAAAAAAAAATTGAAACTTCATCATTTCAGTACTAAGGAAGGTAGGTACCAAATGATTTAGATCTGTGACAACTTTGAAAGATCATAACTTTTTTTCTATCAAAGATAGAGAGCTGAAAATTTCAGCGATTCTTATTCTACTAGAGGACTTCAATCCCTGAAAATTTCAGTTCATTTGGACTTATAGTTTCTGAAATAAAATCGCGTTAAGCAATTTGGGGTAAATTATCAGATTTTCTGAGCGATTTTTTGTCCTAGATTTCAGCTTCAAATCTCGAAAAAATTTAGTGTATGGAGTCTGGGGGATCCCCAATAATCATTTAGACACAAAATATCAACATAAAAAAAATTGAATTTCCATCATTTTAGTAGTACAGGGTATTTGATTATATTTGGCACCATACCTACAGCCTTTACTATTTAAGATAGAAAAAAAATTTAAATACAAAACTTGACAGTTTTTTTCTATATTTTCTGATAACGTTATCAGGAAAAACAAAATCGCATCGGAAAATGGAGAAACGTAAGCAGCTTCGACTTTTTTAATGGACCACCCTGTATATTTTACGATAAAATGAAATATCTATTCTTTCTGATTCCAAATATATATATATATATATATATATATTGATAACATTTGCATGAGCAATTATTGACATATCTTAGGTTAAATTTTAAAGAATTTGCAAAGAAGGTCCATAATAGTCCGGGGGCCGAGGACCTTTTTTCCAAATCATTAATAACAAGCTAGTTTTTTCAATGCAGCTTCATTTCACCGAGACGCCCAACTTTTTTCTCTTCGAAAATTGCGAAAACAGGTAGCTAACATACTGCGCAGGTGTAAAACATGTCGATTTGGTGAGTATGAAAATTTAATTAATAACAGTTAGGTTTTCAGCTAAATGTTGAGATAATTTTATGAATAATTTGAAACAACATTTGTCCGACAAAATAAATGGTTTGATCTAGGCTGTCTCCCTTCTCAAACATGTAGCAGGGCCGGTATTCTCGTTCCCGAAAACGCTCACCGCTTTTTAGTCGCTCGGCACTTTTAATGTAAATTTACATTAGAAGTGCCGAGCGACTGAAAAGCGGTGAGCGTTTTCGAGAACCAGAATACCGGCCCAGATACGTTACTAAAAAAACGATTTTTAACCAGTTGATTTTTTTAATGTAGCTTAGTAAATATTACTACAATTAAATGGTTACACTGTCCTAAAATAAAGAGGTACATTTCTCCAGTCCTACACTCAAAAGTTGTCGACTTCACGGTTATACTTTATTCATCAATCACTGGACACCGGCTTAATCTTCTCGGGCATCTTCGTATTGATAATACGCCTAACTTTTCTATTGCGAAAAGTTGCAAAAGTAGTAGCTACTAGAGTGAGCACTAGTGAGCACATAGCACATGTAAAATACCTTGATTAGGTGATTATGCAAATGTAATTATTAACAGTTAACAGTTAATTTTTCAGGTGAATAATGAGATAATTTTATAAATAATTCGAAATTCGATTTGAGCCACAAAATAAAAGAGGTAAGATTTCTCAGCCCTACATTCGAGAATTTCGAAAATAGCCTTATGCATATTATACGTAAATATGTACAGGGCTTTCATTTCAAAACTTACCACCCACGTTATCTGCGTAAAGAGACAGATTTCTGGAAAAAAAGATTAAATTCGAGAATTTTACCTTTTGTATTTTTAAAAATATAATTAATAAAATATTTGATTTTTGATATTATTTGAAATGAACATACCTATCTCTTTTATTTTTGAGCTGTCGAGAAAATATTATTTGGAAAACTCCTGTATTTTTTTAAGTTCCACGTTATTTAAAAAGAAAAACTCTAACTTAGAAAACACTCTGTATTCACCCTATATACAGCAAAAAAGCGCGCCAGATTTAATACATTAAAAAAGAAGCTCTATTTTTTTTTAAATATCTTTAGAATTAAGATGAACCGGTTGGATCAAACCTTCTCCATCTGGGTATGGAAAATGACAAGGGGCATGGCCCCCTCTACTTTGTAGGCATGCCAAAACACTTTTTCGAGCAATTCAAATCTGGCGCGCTTTTTGAATCACCCTATACTACGATAATGTGTTATTAACGAGCATGCGCGTCGATGCGAATGGAAACCATCGACATAAATGTAGGTATGTGTACATACACATAACACATATACTGTTATACACGCATATGTATACGTACATATGTACAGTGTGGTCATTTTATCTTGATAACATTTGAAACTGTCATAATTTCTTTATTTTTAAAGTTATTCAAATAAATAAAAAAAACATACTGTAGGGTTGCTTTCCAAGTTTTAGATAGGGTGGACAAAAAACAAAATATAGACTAATATATTTTGACAGTTATGCGCACATATAGCATTTTCTTGAATGGAACACCCACTAAATTTTCAGTTTGTTTGATAATATGTTTTATTCTGATTGCAATGTATACAATACGATACACTAGAATACAATTCACTTTATATTTACATGCAGAAATGTTTTATCTATTCTAACTGAAAATATTGATTACCTACACAGATTACCTGCAAAGGTAGGTAGGTAGACAGAATTTCCCATTAGAATAAATAAAACGTTTCTGCATGTAAATATGAAGTAAATTGTATTCAATTGTATTGTATTGTATATAGTGCAATCAGAATGAAACATATTATCAAACAAACTAAAAATTTACCGGGTGTTCCATTTGAAAAAATGCTACTTGTGTGCATAACTGTCAAAATATTTTAGTCTTTTGTTTTTTGTCCACCCTATCTAAAACTTGGAGAACAACCCTACAGTATGTTTTTTTATTTATTTAAAAAACTCCAAAAATAAAAAAATTATGACAGTTTGAAATGTTATCAAGATAAAATGACCACCCTGTACATACAGGGGCTTTCATTTCGAAATTTGCCACCCACGTTATCTGCCTAAAGAAACAGATTTCTGGAAATCAACAAATTAACGCACCCCCTCAATAAATTTGTTGACATGTTTAAGCGATTTCTAGAAATCTGTCTATTTACGCAGATAACGTGAGTGGCAAGTTTTGAAATGAAAGCCCTGTACATATTTACGTATAATATGCATAAGGCTATTTTCGAAATTCTCGAATGTAGGGCTGAGAAATCTTACCTCTTTAGGACAATGTGACCATTCAATTGTAGTTATATTTACCAAACTACAGTAAAAAAATCGACTGGTTATAAATCGTTTTTTATGAGCCAGTAATTGCTACATTTTTGAGAAAGGGGACACTGCAGACCAAACCATTTATTTTGTGGCTCAAAACGAATTTCGAATTATTTATAAAATTATCTCATTATTCACCTGAAAAATTAACTGTTAACTGTTAATAATTACATTTGCATAATCACCTAATCAAGGTATTTTACATGTGCTATGTGCTCACTAGTGCTCACTCTAGTAGCTATTACTTTTGCAACTTTTCGCAACAGAAAATTTGGGCGTCTTATCAAAATGAAGATACTCACGAAGATTTAGCCGGTTATTAATGAAAAAAGTTAAATCGTGAAATCGACAACTTTTGAGTGTAGGACTGAAAATAGCTAGGTACCTGTTTATTTGTAGGACAGTGTGACCATTTAATTGTAATAATATTTACCAACCTACATTGAAAAAAT